AATCTGCAAAATGGCATTTGACCCCATCAGGACAGTAAGGCAGCTGTGAGAGGAGCTTGAGAGACAAAAGAGGCCTGAGGGTTACGACTAAGAGGCAAGACATTACGAGAGATGAATGACAAGAAATATATCTTCTATATATATCTAAATAACCATCTCAACCTCAACCAAATTAGATATTCAGTTTCTTTATCCAATTAAGATTTTTTTTTTTAATGTGGTAATTTGTATTTGTCAAGAACCTTTAGACGGCTCCCACTTTGTCAGAGAGTTGATTTAAAAAAAGGTATAATCCCTGTTAATGCTCGTAGGGGTAAAGTTCCAGAAAACACAGCTGACCTCCTACGAGTCTGAATTCAACCTGACATCCTCTGGCAGGTCACTCGTGTTCATTCCTCGGTCTAACTTTAAATTAAAGGGGACCAGGCCTTCTCAGGCCTCTCAGCTGTTGAATGAATTCCCACAGCAGACAAAGGAAGTTTACACATTGTGGTTTTAAAGGTATTTCAGACTTTTTAGAAGAACATTAAAAAATAAAGTATTTATCAAAATATTTGATTAACCATTTGTTGTCTTTTTAGTTCGATTTAAAATAAAACAAAGTGATATTGTTTGTAGCAGTTGTATTATATAAAACTCAGACACAGCTTTCTGTGTCTGTTTCTCAAGAAAGAAGCAGAAATATTATCTTGAGCACACATTATTGTTGAAAGAGCCAGTTTATGCGGTGAGATGTTCACTCAGTATGAACATAACTTAATCAGTAGTGAGCGATACAAGACAGTAAGTGGAAGATATATTGAAGTGCATCCATGATTCAGCAGCAGTGTGGGCTTTCCAGTCGTTAAAGATGTCTGTCACTGCTGACTCAACTCAACTGTTACTAGGATCTCTTTCCCTCTTACAAAACACGTCAATTACTTTTTTCTGCCCACGCCAACACCCCATCCTCCCTTCTTTGGAAGATGACCCTTCTGTCTTCCCTCCCCAGAAGCACCCTGAACTGACAGCAGCAGGGACACAGATCCTGACTCAGACAACTGGGCCTGTCACTTCCAGACTAAGCTGTGTGTCTGATGGCCGGGCTTGGCACTCTGTGCAAAAGCTGCAGGCTACCAAAGACTCTGCATGACATTGCCTTGGTTGAGACAGAGCTTCAGGGGTTAACATGAATGGACAAAAGGAAGAAGTAATGGTTAGTGAGACAGGAGAAGAGAGAGCTGCAGGAGATAGAAAGAAAAGGGTGCTTGTTTTGACTGCTTCAGCCCACAGGTAGCATGAGTCATTCACACCTTTTTCAATGCCACACGTTTTGGCTTTAGCCATATGCTGCATTACTTTAATGGTTTTAAAGCATCACCTAGTGTATTTTGTAATTAAGAAACATTAAATAGAGTAAGACACTTCATAGATGGACTTTTTCTTAAGACATATGTACTACAGTGCAACTCTATAAAATACTGAATCATTTATCAGATAGGCACCTATGGATCAGGCTCACTCTAATTTGATTCAAATTAAAGCTTTGGAGGGATGCCAAATAGCTAAAAGGAAAACATCTAACTGTGTTGTAGGTCAGATTTAAGACATGGAGTTGTTCAAGTTACAGTACATGGGTTCTCTCAGATACTATTATAATCAAATCTGTAATTATCTCATGGGTTTAATTTAATTGTGTCAGTCATAGTACAGTATACTATTGTCACTGTGTGAATTTGCCTGCATGGTGAGGCAGGGATGTTTGGAAATCCATGCTAAAAAAGAATCAGTGCAGTAACTGAACCCGTCTTCTACAGTGCTCCTCTGTGGCACTGGTGTACAGAACGCATCAATGGCACTAAAATGTTTTTACTACGAACTGAAGATGAAAAGGCTGTTCAGCATGTAAGTGTGTACCTGCACTAGTGAGAAAACAGTGTTACTCAGATGAATACAGTATGGCAGTATGGAATTAGATGTATTTGTATTAACATAATGTCTTTTGAGACTGAACTTAATTGCTTCTAATATTTCACTCACTTTTATGTGATTATTTTTAAGCCTTATAGGCAAGCTGAGTTTTTTACATGTTCATATTGCTGTTTTTACTCTAGCAAAAGCCCTTTGAGATGTCAGAAGTATTTGGTACTTGGGACATCTCAAAAGCACAATAATTTCCAACATGTTTACTTATGTTTAATCTCAACTGGTTTAAGGTGGTCAGACATGCAAAGACTACTGTCAGTACTTACTGACCAGGCAGTCAAGAAAAACGTGGAGAGACAAACTTCAATATGTTCTGTATTGACAGTAAACTGACATATAGACTGAGGTAGTTTCCTCTCCTGTCAGTCAGCTGTCAACCATAAGAGACTTTCCAGCTCACCTCTGGTCCTCCACCTGTTTCCTGCCCTCACACCGGGTGTTATTTTTAATCACCATGATGACATGACTGTTGCTACGTTTGGTTTACACTGATACTGCGTGCCATGGTTATTATAATCAAGCTATACAAACATAACTGCATATAATCTTAAAAAAACATGATGTGATCAATGGTCCACTTATCCTTACTGGGTCCTGCTTTACCTCCATCAGCGGACCCAGGATGTGATAATGGATCACACATCAAAAGACCTCAAGCATGATGCCATTTTCCCCTTCAAACCTCACTTGACAGATCCTCCTCCCCAATTGGGCCATCATTCTCTTATAAGGCATAATATGAAAGTAGACGCTCAGCACAGTATGTGGTGAACGGTGTAAGGATGGCGTCAAGGTCATTTGAGGGTAACTGGGAAAATAAAACACCGTCTGGGCAAAGAGCCACCTGAAAACCCAGCACACTGCCCCGTGTCTCTTAATCCGTGACTTGAGGATGCAGTTTACATTTTGATGTCTTAAATTGCATCGGTATCTTATCAGTAGTCCACTGCAGTCTCAAAATGATGTGGCCAGAACACACGTGTGTGCTTGAGGAACAGTGAAGAATAACTCGCATCGCTATTTGATACTCTCCCCGTCATTACTGCACGTGTTAGCACCTCAGAATAACAATATCAACAACACCCTGCATACAGCATTGTCCTGCAGGTTAAAACACCTCACACATTTAGCATCATGGGAGAACATTAAATGCGTAAACGTATTCGCGAAAAAAAAGATACATTTAAGAATATTTGATCAATCTAAGACATGCAAAGAAACCATGGCAAAGAAAACAGGTGTGATAATGTATGGCATTAAATAGTTCCTGAAATACAACATAGTCCATTAGTTAAACTGCAAATTATGAATTGCTATGAAAAGATTTAAACTGAAGGCTATAGTTGTTGGAGCTTATGTACAGACTCATGTGTGCCATACCTAGTGTCAAAGCAACGCGCCATGCATTGGACAGTTAAAGGGCACTTTACCTGGTAGCTCAGCATGCTCTCGGGGTCGTTGATGGGCATGCTGGTGGCCTTTGGGTTAACCTGCTCAGTGTTCCCGGAGGGTACAGGTGAGACTTTCTCAGGAGCGGATCAGCCTCTCAGCGCTGGCTTAGGACGTTTCCAAAAGCATTCACGAGTTGGTGACAGCAGCTGCTTCTGTTTGCGCGGACATGGTGAGTGTAAACACCTCTTTCAGATTAGCTGAACGGTGAAAATTATACTTGGAGCCCCCCGTGTGTTATGATGATTTCCCGGTCGCGCTTCCAGCTCCCCTCCCTCCTGTGCTGGCTGTGGGAGCAGGATGCAGAGAGCATCACTGCAGCTCAGCCAATCAGAACGCAGAGGCACACAACGGGCTGCGACGCACTGCTGCTACCCAACACAATAAAGCCAAGACTATTAGAAGCTTATAGAGCTACGTCACTCTACATCATGTCCAGTTTGGCATCTTCTCACATTTCAACATGCTAAGATGTTCTGGACTATTGCACAGCAAATGTTAAGATGCTTGTTCTTTTTTTTCTTTTGTCATATTGCACTCTGCATCTATGAAGCTATAGAATATATTCCTTCAACATTTTTTGTTTATCCTCTTAACTTATTTGTTTTCTTTGTTTCAAAGAAGAAGTGCTGGGGGAAATTGTTTAGATCCTTTGTATAAGTATCAATACCACAACATAAAAACAACAACTCAATTAACTGTAAGATCATCCAAACGTTTATTGAAATTAGTATAGAGTAAAAGCCACATTCACTTAAACTGATATAGGCTACATTAAATTGTAATATAAATACTTTTAGAGAGTTATGCTATTGTCCCATTCAATTGTATTGTATTCAATTGTTTGTGTAGGCTATTATATTATACTTGTTTTAATAATAGGATCAAATGGGAATACACATTAAGAACAACTAATTATTCTAAATCAACTAACATTTTCCTTAAGAAAAGTATGTCTATATGTAGACAAGGCGATATATTCTTCAATCATTAGTAAAGTAATGACAAACATGATTGCAAAAGTGAATAGTGAGCACATAACATGAAAGAGAGAATAGCCACATCATTGATACAGTTACACACACTATAACTGGATAGAAAATACTAGCAAGCCTTGGATGCCACCGTGTGGGACGGCAGAGTATTACGCAGAGCAGGATATCTGCCTTTTCTATACTCAATGTAATCTAAATGGTATGCAGCTCAAATGTCTTACAGATTGACGGTGATACAGGCGTGCTATTAAAGATGCAGGACACGTAATTATTATTTGTTCAACCTCTACTGAGGTCGCAAGGAAAGCACTTCAAACCGAGCAGCAGCCTCCACATTGGCCTCAGCATGAATTTTCTCGATCAAAACACATGAGACTGTCCACCTGCCACATTGTCACACCCGATTGGACGCCCGCACGTGTAAGCCACACTGCAACTGATAGCGTGAGATCAGATAAGTGATCCACTTTGTTCAGCGCGTGGCTAAAAGATGACATCTTTTTCACTGCCATGCGCAGCGTCCTGTTTCTCATGGGTACTGTTGTTGTGGCAACTGTAAACATTAAAGTGTGCACGGTTGCCATGGGAAGGGTCAGCGGGTAGGAAGCAGGACTGTGCGAAACAGTGGGCAGAGTGGTCGTCGGGAGTGGGACAGTGGCGATGTGACAGGTTTGAATAGGCTATTATTATTCATAGCTAGATATGTTATTGTTGTCATAGATGACACGTTGAGCATGTGTTTCCTACTATACCTGCTTTTGTGCATGCCTAAGTAGACCAATACATGTCTACATGTCTGCGTGTGTGTGTGTGTGTGTGTGTGTGTGTGTGTGTGTGTGTGTGTGTGTGTGTGTGTGTGTGTGTATATGTGTGTGTGTTTTTGAGCATGGGTTTCCTACTGAGTGCTGTGACAGCCTCAATCAGCTCTGTTCAGATTTAGATGCCTGCTTGACCCAATTTACATCCTTCAGCTAGGTTCCACACATATTCCAGTTTATGAAATGGTAGCTACATGGTCTTGGTCTTAGAGTAAACATGTTTTTGTATCTGTCTTTCTGTTCTATGAATTATAATATCCTATAATATGATGATCAGAAAATTATGCTTTTGTAAACATATTTATGTCCCCATAGAACTGACCACTCTATTTTGATCTGCTGAAGAGATTACTACTTATCAGGAAAATGCAACAAGTGCCAGGTAAGTGGATGGATCTGCATACAAATGCCTGCACACAGTTGCCTTATACAGACATTTCACCAAGCAGTTTGTCTCAGTGTTACAATCGACAGTGGCTCCAGTTGAAGGGAGGCTACGTCGTAATGTGCCAAGCCTTCCAGCGATCAAGCCTGACAGGCTGAAAACAGCCAAAACACTGGTAGAGAAGGCAGTGAAGGTGATTATATGTGAAACACAGACGTCACTGTACACCTCTGCATTTACACCCACTATATTTTTATGTTCTTTGTGTTGTATTTGACTCTTATTTATATGACTCCTCCACTCATTCTCAGCTGAGGAAGGTGTTTTCAGTGCAGGGGCCCTACCCAGTGATCCGTGCTGCCCTATGGGCCAGAGGGTGGGTTGAACGCCATTTTCCTAATCCTACCCAGAGAGCACCTCATTGCCGTGGCAATGAAGAGGAAGATGGCGGCGATGGTGATGTCAGTGTTCATGTTACTGGTAAGACAATGGAGGACAAAGTCCTTTGAGAAAACAACATGCAGTGTAGGTGTAAACAACATCCAAAAAAGCAGCTGTGCCTGAGCGACTGATATATGGGGACGGAATAGATGTGCATTATAACCTCACAGTATTACTAACAAATAACTATTATATCTTATAATCACTAATAAGGTATCATACTTTTACATAATTGCTGGTCATTAACTGACATTTGAATTGCAAGTAAGATATCCTGTCATAATTCCCATTGTTATAAACAATTATCTTATAATCTTATGTATTATCATCACGTTTATAAAGCATTATGAATATTATCATTGGCGTCATAGAAAGTGTTAACAATATATATATATATTTTTTTTGTATTTAATCGTTCATTTGGCAGGGACAATGCACAGTAATGAACACTTAAAACATTAAAATGTATCAAGCGTAACAGTGCCAGATTTAGCTTTGAGCTCATTTCCATCCGCAGTCCCTCACATAAAACACTTAAGAAGTTTACATTTTACAAACATAAAACAAAATACATGATATGCAAAAGGTGCAAAAGAGCAAGAGCAGCATACACAAGTATTTATCACATGGTAATACAATATAGCAGCAAAGACATATAAAGGTGCAAGACAGATACAAGAGCTACCATACAATACAAGAGAAGATACCCCCTGGTGTTAAAGCTGGCATTCTAGCGGTGATTGGCACGGATGTTTGTTTCTCAACCCCCATTCTTTGAAAGGTGACCCCTTTGTAGCGCTATTGAGACTGGGACAAGTCCCGTTAACTCAGTTTGGGAAGGTTATTCCACAATGAGCTGCCTTTAATGGAAATGTACATTTTGTCCAAAAGTGGTCCGTCTGGCGGTGGACTTC